CCATACTGATCCGGGCGAGTGTACTCGAGGAATCAGCTTCTAAACGTGGACTACGCCTTTCACGACCATGCAAGGCGCTTCGGATGCGTATAGTGATTGTGCAAGAGCCCTATGAGCATTCAAGGTACCCCAGGAAGCAAAAGGTAGAAGGTGTATGTAAAAAAAAGCTTCGGACGTGCGCTCGGTCACTAGTGAGTCAGAAGGTCACCTCAGTAGAATTGAAAAAAACGAGCTCTATTCGGATGAACAACACATGGATGTCCTTTCACCAGAAGAGATTCACCCCATGAGACCATACTCGGCAGTGAAAACGAAAGCCTTTTTCTTCCACAAGAAATCGAACGATTCCTTTCAGAAGGTACGGATAAAAAATGAGACAGTGAGTGCATTCCAGCGTCCAGTTTATGAGGGGAAAACGCACCTCTTCAGCAGTTTTGAAAGCTTCCTCCTTTGATCCTATTTCGTTCTCCCACTTAGCTAGATCAGCCTCCTTCTTCTTCATTTGCTTGATTTCCTATAAAGCAAAATCGATCTAGTTCCTTTACTAATACGGCGCAACCTGCACATTTAACGCAATGAATTGAAATGACAGCTGCTTCAGATCTGCCGCGGGTCCTACGCAAAGAAGGAGACTGTAGTTGTCGCACGGAAATACTTGTAAAATTTCTGCTTCTTTCAGCCCTTTTGAGCTTTTTGGAATAGAAACTTTTAGATCTTTTAGTGGCTCTCGGGTCAAACAGAATGTTCAAGACAAAAAATATTGAGCAGCGACTGCGAGTGTCAACGCGCAGCACGTAATTGCAGAAAACAGCTCATCCGAAAGTTCCACAAGATAAAAGGTCTATAAAAAACCGAATAGTACGAACACTTCCTTAGAGACAGCACCGTGCTCAACCAAGTCGTAGGATTGTTTCTCTGCTCGGTTCCCGGTGCATAATCCGCGGAGACTCGCCGGCAACTTTCGCTGGATTCATACTGAGATGCGAGGTGCTGCACCCACATCTGAGCTGCGAGTGTGTGAGCGAGTGAGAGTGAGAGACGTCACAGCTGCGCGAGCGAAAAAACTCAGGCGAACCTCCACACTCTCGTTCGCTGTGAGTGGAAGGCCGCGTGAGCGCAGCCCTTCTTTTTTTCGTCCGCGTCGACAGACTGTAGCCATCATAGTTAGCGTACGTCGTTTCGTTGTTGCTTACTCGCTTCAAAAACGAACAACGTGGAGACGAACTGGCGGACAACAAATCCACCCTCACATGAGCGCAACTGCTGGACTGTAGACTGCGATAGTCTAAGCGCCTTCATCATTGAGATGCGATGATGAACAGTCTTGCGATTACGCACGACCAACGGGCAAGCCATGAGATCAAACTAGCCGGTGGATGTGTAGCCTCGATAATGAGTGTAAATCGTAATGTTCCATCGATAACATAAGGATAAGAAAACCAGAAAGTTCTTACACTATTTCCAAGAAAATGACAATTTGGAAACAATTGACGATAAACTAGATTCAGGGATTTTTTTAACTAAAATCGAAAGTGAGAAAGTGTTACCCACGTTGTTCAGAGATTTCCGCTTCTCTTCATATTCTGTTAGAATCTCTCCAAAAGATTCTTTACATTCACGTTTTTCCTCATCACATGCTTCAATTCTTGCGAGCTCCTCAGCAACGTTTCCCTCCCAATAATAAAACGCCTCATGCATGACGCTAAATTTTCAAAGCCCTTCAGTAAATACAAGTAAAATCAACTATAAGTGCACACAAAAGGCCATCGTAGATCTAGTGATGCTCAAAATTGAACTGACTCTTTTCTTAGCATCCTCCACACGAGTAAGATCTTCCTGTTGGGACTCTAGGACAGCTTCAATTTCCCTTAGTTCACGCCGAGTGAGATCTTCCTGTTGGGACTCTAGGACAGCTTCAATTTCCCTTAGTTCACCTTCCAGTGATTTGATTTCTTCTGCTTTTTCCACAGCAACTTTCTCGCAGTGCTCGGAGTTCATCTAAACTTAGCGATCATCATAAGTAAAAACGGCACAGATGATGAAAAAGGGTTCAAACCAACCAAAGACATGTAGTAGGTGAATGCTGTGAGTTTTCGCTCTCGACGCTCAATTTCGCGATCGCAGTTATTATACTCCAGAAAATTCTGCTTATCCCTTTGTAGTTTCTCTAATTGGGGCAAAATGTCCTCGGCCATCAGCTGCAAACAGGTACAACATAACAACGTGTTATACTGACATATCCCTTTAGAGCGGTACCTTTTCAATCTCATCAACTTTGGACTGCTTTTTATGGATTGTGTTCAAAGCCAGAGTTCTTTTGGCTTCATACAATTTAGTTCCGGCGGCTTCTTCGATCATGCCCAAAATCTAAAAACAAGGCACTGTTGCCATGCAGCTAAGCTCAGAGAGGAAAACGGTCAAATCAAGCAATCATAAGCCAGGCTATACCTCGTGAGGCTTCATGTTGAGTACTTTGGTAATGCGTCCTTGCATTATAAGAAAATGGGGATTGTTCACATTAAGGCCAACACTGCGAAAGAAATCGGAAACCTAAAGGAAAACACTGATTATGAGAAAAGTCATAGGCTTCAAAAAGGTGGGAAGAAAGGGTGGAGAGGGGGGGAAGCAAATGAAGCCGCTTATCACAAAGCCCAGGCAACTTATTTCGCACTTCCGGATAAGTGGACACCCTAGCCATTTGAACCCAACACTGGTCTCAATCCAGTATCTTCAGAGTCGTCAAAAACCAGAGACACTTTTAGGAACCTCCCCGAACCTCCGTGTATGCAAGG